GGTTAGTCCTAGGGTTTAGTCCTGGTTTAGTACTCCTGGTTCAGTCCTGGGTTAGTCCCGGTTTAGTCCTGGTTTAATCCTGGTTCAGTCCTGGTTTAGTCCTTGTTCAGACCTGATTTAGTCTTCCTGGTTCAGTCCTGGGCTAGTCCTAGGTTAGTCCTGGTTTAGTCCTCCTGGTTCAGTCCTGGGTTAGTCCCGGTTTAGTCCTGGTTTAATCCTGGTTCAGTCCTGGGTTAGTCCTGAGTTAGTCTTCCTGGTTCAGTCCTGGGCTAGTCCTAGGTTAGTCCTGGTTTAGTCCCGGGTTAGTCCTAGGTTAGTCCTGGTTTAGTCCTGGTTTAGTCCTCCTGGTTCAGTTCTGGGCTAGTCCTGGTTTAGTCCTGGGTTAGTCCTCCTGGTTCAGTCCTGGTTTAGCCCTGGTTTAGTCCTCCTGGTTCAGTCCTGGTTCAGTCCTGGTTTAGTCCTGGTTCAGTCCTGGTTCAGTCCTGGTTTAGTCCTCCTGGTTCAGTCCTGGTTCAGTCCTGGTTCAGTCCTGGTTCAGTTCTGGGCTAGTCCTGGTTCAGTCCTGGTTCAGTCCTGGTTTAGTCCTGGGTTAGTCCTGGGTTAGTCCTCCTGGTTCAGTCCTGGTTTAGTCCTGGTTCAGTCCTGGGTTAGTCCTCCTGGTTCAGTCCTGGTTCAGTCCTGGTTCAGTCCTGGTTCAGTTCTGGGCTAGTCCTGGTTCAGTCCTAGTTTAGTCCTGGTTCAGTCCTGGTTCAGTTCTGGTTTAGTCCTGGTTTAGTCCTGGTTCAGTCCTGGTTCAGTCCTGGTTTAGTCCTGGTTCAGTCCTGGTTCAGTTCTGGTTTAGTCCTGGTTTAGTCCTGGTTCAGTCCTGGTTCAGTCCTGGTTTAGTCCTGGTTCAGTCCTGGTTCAGTTCTGGGCTAGTCCTGGTTTAGTCCTGGTTCAGTCCTGGTTCAGTCCTGGTTTAGTCCTGGTTTAGTCCTGGTTCAGTCCTGGTTCAGTTCTGGGCTAGTCCTGGTTTAGTCCTGGTTCAGTTCTGGGCTAGTCCTGGTTCAGTCCTAGTTTAGTCCTGGTTCAGTCCTGGTTCAGTCAGTCCTGGTTTAGTCCTGGTTTTTCAGTCCTGGTTCAGTTCTGGTTCAGTTGTCCTGGTTTAGTCCTGGTTCAGTCCTGGTTCAGTCCTGGTTTAGTCCTGGTTCAGTCCTGGTTCAGTTCTGGTTTAGTCCTGGTTTAGTCCTGGTTCAGTCCTGGTTTCAGTCCTGGTTTAGAGTCCTGGTTCAGTCCTGGTTCAGTCCTGGTTCAGTCCTGGGTCCTGTCCTGGTTTAGTCCTGGTTCAGTCCTGGTTTCCAGTTCCTGGTTCAGTCCTGGTTTAGTCCTGGTTCAGTAGTCCTGGTTTCAGTCCTGGTTCAGTTCTGGGCTAGTCCTGGTTTAGTCCTGGTTCAGTCTGGTTCCTGGTTCAGTCCTAGTTTAGTCCTGGTTCAGTCCTGTTCAGTCCTGGTTCAGTCCTGGTTCAGTCCTGGTTCAGTTCTGGTTCTTAGTCCTGGTTTAGTCCTGGTTCAGTCCTGGTTCAGTCCTCCCTGGTTTAGTCCTGGTTCAAGTCCTGGTTTCAGTTCTGGTTTAGTCCTGGTTTAGTCCTGGTTCAGTCCTGGTTCAGTCCTGGTTTAGTCCTGGTTTCAGTCCTGGTTCTGGTTCAGTTCTGGTTCAGTAAGTCCTGGTTTAGTCCTGGTTCAGTCCTGGTTCCCTGGTTTAGTCCTGGTTCAGTCCTGGTTTAGTCCTGGTTCAGTCCTGGTTTCAGTCCTGGTTTAGTCCTGGTTCAGTCCTGGTTCAGTCCTGGTTTAGTCCTGGTTTAGTCCTGGTTCAAGTCCTGGTTCAGTCCTGAGTTTCAGTCCTGGTTAGTCCTGGTTTAGTCCTGGTTCAGTCTGGTTCAGTTTGGTTTAGTCCTGGTTTAGTCCTGGTTCAGTCCTGGTTCAGTCCTGGTTCAGTCCTGGTTTAGTCCTGGTTCAGTCCGTGGCGTGTGCGGTACAAAAGTCCAGCATCTTGATCAGTGTTTCTTCTGCTCAGTAAATAATTCCTGTGAAGTGATGACAGTCGAGTCGCGTCTGTGAATTCGTATTCGTACTGAAGAAAGTGAAACCGTTTCATTTCATTTCGAGTGTAATTCTTGAAGTAACTTTTCAATTCAGATGAGTTTAATGCCATACTGTGGAACATACCAATAAGAGCAGTCACATCTCCATAGAAGAAGGTCAGTGCTCCACCGAGAAAGTTACATAGTGCACCTTTAATTCTTTTTCTTTCTTTTTGTTTTTCATCTGATATAATGTTGTAATTTTAAGACTTATTTTTAGTCAAGTTAAATGACTAAAAGTACTTTATTATTTTAGTTTTTAATCAGTCTTGGCCCATTGCATAATTAGTCTGACTCTAGAATTTGTTTAGTTCTGATTTAATCCTTATTTAGAGACCTAATTTAGTCCTGGTTTAGTCTTGATTTAGTCCTGGTTTAGTCTTGATTTAGTCCTGGTTTAGTCCTTGATTTAGTCCTGGTTTAGACCTGATTTAGTCCTGGTTTAGACCTGGTTTAGACCTGATTTAGTCCTGGTTTAGACCTGATTTAGTCCTGGTTTAGTCCTGGTTTAGACCTGATTAGTCCTGGTTTAGACCTGATTTAGTCCTGGTTTAGTCCTGATTTAGTCCTGGTTTAGACCTGATTTAGTCCTGGTTTAGTCCTGGTTTAGTCCTGATTTAGTCCTGGTTTAGACCTGATTTAGTCCTGGTTTAGTCCTGGTTTAGACCTGATTTAGTCCTGGTTTAGTCCTGATTTACTCCTGGTTTCGTCTTGATTTAGTCCTGGTTTAGACCTGATTTAGTCCTGGTTTAGTCTTGATTTAGTCCTGGTTTAGTCTTGATTTAGTCCTGGTTTAGTCCTGATTTAGTCCTGGTTTAGACCTGATTTAGTCCTGGTTTAGACCTGATTTAGTCCTGGTTTAGATCCTGATTTAGTCCTGGTTTAGACCTGATTTAGTCCTGGTTTAGATTTTGGTTTGGACCTGATTTAGTCCTGGTTTCGTCTTGATTTAGTCCTGGTTTAGACCTGATTTAGTCCTGGTTTAGACCTGGTTTAGACCTGATTTACTCCTGGTTTCGTCCTGATTTGGGTCTCATAATGTTAATATCTTTTCCTTTAAATTGTGGAAAATGAGAAACCTGTCTGTTCCTGCAGGTTTCTCACTTCTGCACCGGAGCCTAAAAAGAGCGGAGCACTTAGGTATAATTTGACCGCTGCTTTGACACCTCTCCTGCTGTAATTACTGCAGTTTCACAGATATATTTGGCTCTGACTGTTCACATCCGGACATAATATAAGACCTGCCGTAGGTGGACAGGTTCCTCCGTGTTATAAATGGAAACATATTCATTACTGCATTGAATTTAAGCTTAAAAGCGGCTCATTATATAGAAATTATACTAACTGGAGCTATAAAAAAAACATCTGAAATATACTGGAATAAAATGATGATCAAAAAGTCACATTAAAAACCCTGTACCCAATTTTTCACGAGTATAAGCAGCTCTTCAGGTCAAAATAAGTCTGCTGCTTGCCTCAAATTATAAAGTGTTTTACTGTCGGGTAATCAGGAAGTGCACATTTGCATGCTAGTTGGAACTCGCTTTACCGGTACGGCAAAACTTGCTCTGGAAAGTAGCAAAAAAGGCTTAAAAACTCATCACAGTGAATAATTAGGACGTTCAGAATACATAGAGGAATAATTTTGCAAACTGTTTGAAGGGAGAGTCTGGAATTTTGGACATAGGAGCCAGAGTGTTGGAGACGTGTGGAGACACTTTTTAAAATATTCCATCCCGTCCTTGTATTTGCAGAGGTCGCTGGTGCTAGGCTAGTGCATGTCAATGGCCATAGTTATCCTGCCACTAAAAACAGTCTTAAAATACCCAAAGTAAAACTATTATTACTCCAGACTGTCAATGTAAATGTCTGTGTTAATAAAATAAAGTTTGAAATAAAACTAACCTTGCATCGCATGAATCGTTGCATGTTGAGGGACTATTTTCTCATATATCAGTCCGCCACTGCTGAGCTTTCTATCAGGACGTACAACTCGCTGCTGCTGCTCAGACATAAATCCTTCAAATGCGAGGTTGATTTTACTTCTAAAATGATTCTATCAATACAGACATTCACATTAACAGTCTGGTGTAATAACAGATTTTCTTCGGGTGTTTTGTGGAGTGGGTAAGACTGTTTTTAGTGGCAGGATAACTATGGCCATTGACATGCACTAGCCTAGCACCAGTGACCTCTGCAAATACAAGGACTGGATGGAATATTTTAAAAAAAGTGTCTCCGCACGTCTCCAACACTCTGGCTCACGAGGAAATGAGGTCCTATGTCCAAAATTCCGGGCTATCCCTTTAAAATAAACTAGTTATGTTTTTCAGGTTTTCAAATAAAATTCCTTTAAAGTACCACCAGTGAGCTCTATTCATGCTTACGTCACAAAACCAGAAGACGTTTGGAAATATGTGGACGACAACTTCCTTTGGGCGCTGTTTGCCGTAGCGATGCTGACAAAATCTGAGAAAACTGAGAAAATGGTGCAGAAAGAACAAAAATGTGGCTGTTTGCTGCAGGTGTTCCAATCAGAAGGAGCAGGTAGAGGGCGCTCTTGGGAAAAGGATCAAAACTCAAACACAACAGATTCCAGGCACTCCAAACAAGTAGAAAAAGTAAAAAATCGCACGAGGAAAAATATAGTTAAAAGGCTTTTATTTGAATGGCCAAAGCTGACATGTTTCGACCTTAACTGGTCTTCATCAGGGCTTAATTGCCTTTTAATTAAGTTAATTAAGGCCTCAAATAAAGGCCTTTTAACTATATTTTTTCCTCGTGCGATTTTTTACTTTTTCTACTTGTTTGGAGTGCCTATAATCCGTTGTGTTTAAAGGTTGTATAGAGGATTTTCCAAGGAACGAGAAATCCAGCGACTTTTGTCCTTTTTCAAATGTTGCGCATGCGTGAAACCGCCCCCCCTCCCCTACAGCTCCTACGTAGAAACACCTCCTCCGCCTCCTCCTTACGCCAGAAACAGGTTTGTTTACAGCCGGTGCGCTGCACATGACTTGTAAACAACTAACTACAGTGTTGGTTAGGCAAGACGGAGAAGTGAGGAGCGGGGGAGCGGGTGACAGTCGTACCGTAAACCACGTACGCGGCGGCGCAGGGCAAGTCAGTTTACGCCTAGAAACGTCAGGGAGATTTGATTGACAGCCTGTCAGCTCACAGATTAACGAGGCAGTGTCGTTATCTATTGGCAAATGTTTAGCCCCACCACGTCCAGAGTTGATGAATTTTTATCTCTTTTTTTTTTTGGTCATCATAATTACAAGGCTACTGCATCTCTATAATCTATCACTGACAACTTGAAACAAAAAAAATCCTCCATACAACCTTGGTTTTCTTCATCTAGATGTCGATGTTCGAGCCCGTCCCGACAGTGAGTCCTGTTTCAGTTCGAGTTTACTCTTGTTTTAGTCCTAGTTCAGTCCTGGTTTAGTCCTCCTCAGTCCTAGAATCAGTCCTTGGTTAGTCCTGGGTTAGTCCTGGTTTAGTCTTGGTTCAGTCCGTGGCGTACGCAGCGCAAAAGTTTGATATAATCTCTGGTTAACGGCGCGAAGGAAGGAGGAAAACAACAAAAGGACGACAGCAGCAATAAGTTTTAAGAAGGATGCAAAAACGATTGTGACTGTCGTGTCTGAGAAAAGTGTATAAAGTGTGTGATGAGGGATTTTACAGCCTTAAAACAGATAGAATAATTGTAAAATATAAAGTTGACTACTATCGCAGGTTATTTTTAGAATGTAACCCCCGCTTTAAACGAGGGACCACTGTACACATATTGTCCTGAAGTAAAATTTGATGCCTAACTTTGTACACTAATAAATGGATAATAATTTATGTTTTATATATAACTTTACCTCATGTCAGGCTTGTCATGGCTCTTATATTTACTCAATTTCTTGTGACTGCTAAAACTAGTAGCTCTCTGGCATTTTTGTTTTGTAAAAATAGCTCAGCAGAGGAAAAAGTTTGGAGACCCCCGCTACATACATGGTCACAAAAACGGTGCCACCATGCTGAAAGCGAGGACTGAACTTCAATTCACTGGTTTATTGGAGAAATATTTCTTCCACCTAAGGAAACAGTAATTATAGCTCGTTTTGTAATCTAACTTTTTACTTACGCATTTTATTTATTGGAAGTTAGAGCTAACCTTTAAAACCAGTTTTTGTTCTCACAGCAAGTCCAATTTTCTCAGTATTGACCGAAGACTGTATAAAGACGTGGACTAAAGGAGTGTGAAGTCGTCCGTAGCGTTCAGCTCCAGTCAAATTAATTTACAGGAATTTGGAGAACAGTTCTGTATTAGGAATCGGAATTTATTTACGAACAAAATAGCAAAATAAAAACACCAGGAACACGTAGACTGGGTCAATACGAATATTTTAAGACCAAAATGACGAGGCTTGTTTACAGTTACAGAAAGAGGCGTGACAGTTTTTTAATGTAAAGTCATTTGGAGCCAGAGTCGGTGGAGCCGGAAGTGCGTCCATGCTCACTTCCTATGAACCTCTCATACTGGCTGACTCCTCCTCTCTCTCCGCTCCTTCGCGCTGTTTCGTTCCCCGCTGCATCTGGAGCTGCCCCGGGACCCCCTCTGCCTCAGGTTGTGGGAGATGGGCCGGTGCAGGTTGGTGCAGGAGGAGGCGGGCGCTTCGGAGGCCACCCACGGGTGCTTCAGGGCCTGTTCCGCGGTGAGTCGAGCGCCGGGGTCCACGCGGAGAAGCCCGGAGATGAAGTCTTTGGCCTGGTTTGAGACGCAAGGCCAGGGCTGTGGACAGACGAGAGACAGTTATATGGAGTAAGAAAGCTGTCAAAAATATTCGTGCGCGTAAAATAGAAATCCGTGCGTATTTGGCTGTAGTTGCGCATAAAATAAATATTTGTAAACTCTCAAATGAGTCCAGTCGTACATAAAATATATTGTGTGTATTTTATCCATCAGAATACGAATTGAAAAATTACGACGTCATGAATTACAATCAGGAAATGAAAATTTACGATTACGCTTTCATCAGCTGAAGTGAAGACTGATGCTCGTTGTGGCTGTAGTCGTGAATGTTTTAATCTAAACATACAGAGAACCTGATATTTGTTAATTAGCCCTGGGATAACGTTACGTCGGATGTTAGCCAACTGGCTCCACTATGTTATCTAACATATAGGTGCAATTTCCCGTTCAAAGGAGGTGTTTCTACACAATATTATACAGCAGCGTTCGGTTCCCGAATTCAAGACATTTTTACAATAGATTTTAATTAACCCACTTGTTGGTCGCTGTTGTAGCTTCTTGTGCTTTTACTCTGTTTTTTACTCTGCTACAAACTTGAGCTGCACAGTCTTGATCTTGATCGATGTTTCTTCTGCTCGATGGAATAATGTCTGTGAGGTGATGACGTATTTTTGACAGTAAAGTTCCGTCTGTGAATTCGTTTTCGTACTGATGAAAGTGTAATCGGAAATTTTCATTTCGTGATTGTAATTCATGACATCGTAATTTTTCAATTCGTATTCTGATGGATAAAATACACACAATATATTTTATGTACGACTGGAGTCATTTGAGAGTTTACAAATATTTATTTTATGCGCAACTACAACCAAATATGCACGGATTTCTATTTTATGCGCACGAATATTTTTGACAGCTTTCTTACTCCATACAGTTAAAGGTGCTGCGTAACTTTTCTGGTGGAGAGCCTGTAGAAACCTTCTTGTTTCTATGGAGATGTCATTGCTCTGCCTGGAATGTTCCACAGTATGACATTAAACAGCTCTACCTTACATTTATTCAATCACAGGTGGTTGGTCCCGGTGTGGTCCCGGACCTGGATCAGTCCTGGTTCAGCCCGTATGCGGTACAAAAGTCCGACACCGCAGTCACATAAACGAAAAACGGCCGTTATCCATTTTTTCCATTCTTCATTTAAACACAAAATCAAAAACTGAAAGAACGAATTGTTATCTGTAATCATTTCTTATTTTTGGTTTTATATTCAAAAACAATGAACGAATGACACACGGATTGGCCTTCTCATGCTGGCCACCCTCTGGAACTCCCTACCCAAACACTTCAGAGACTTATCCACACTCCCCATGTTTAAAAAAAAAAAAAAAAGCCCTGAAAACCCATCTCTTCAAAACCACCATTCATTAACTTTCTTATTTCTTTTGTTTGCCTTTGTTTGTCTTCATGTAAAGCGTCTTTGAGTATCTTGAAAAAAATACATATATTATATTATTAACAATTTACTGTTCTAAAAAAGTCTAAAATTTCAGTGTTTTTATTCCAAAACATGTTAGCTGTATCTCATTACAGTTTTATTTTCGCTACCCGCTGGTTGATAATGTCTCCTAAATTCATTGAAATTCTAAATCTCTTTTTGCAAACTATCTCCTCAATCACAGCTATTATACCGGTAATGAGAGTCAGTATACAATAGAACAGCTTTGTAATATTCTCTGTTTAGTTTTGCTTTTCGGTCCCTGCCCCAAACCACACTGTATTTGTAAAACTATGAAAAGCATGTTTTCGTTGCTTTCTCCTGTGACTCTGGTCCATCTCTCTCGTCTAATTACAGGCCAGAGTCTGACGCCAGATTTTGACTCAAAGGTTGTGTTTTTCCTGAGGCGTACTGCTCACTCTGTTGTTTCTGCCATTCAAAAACCAAAAACAGGATTTGTATTTCATAATTTTGTAATGACTTTAGTGGATAAAACCATTCAGAGCTTTGGTGAGCGGCAGATTGGGTTGAATGATAATACTAGTAGTTAAATAAAAGAGGAGCTGTTATGCAAAATGGACTTTGTTGGTGGTTATAACGCTGTTTCCTCATCAGAAACATGCCTGAAGAGGTTGTTGATGTTATGCATGCATGTTTGAGTAATTTAGTGATCTCTCCCGGTCCCTATTTAAACCTAGCCAGGGTTGCGTCACCTAGTGCATCTGCTCAATTTCATTTCTCTCCAGCAATTAGGTCAGGAATCGGAATACACTAGAGCACAGGTGTCAAACATATGGCCCGGGGGCTGGATCCGACCCTCCAAGACCTTTAATCTGGCCCTCGGCTGATTTTCTACTAAAATATTGTAATTATATTTTCTATTAAAATCTTGTAAATTTTCTGCGGTGTTTATCACAGCAGCGTCTCCAGCGTCTCTGTACGTGGCCCCTCCCACCAGAGCAGCACAAATGAAGACTTGTCTCTTTCCAAACGCTCTTAAAGGACGATCGTTTTGACTGTTGACCGTGACACCCTCATCAGAAAAATGTCCAACATGAGAAAAGTGGAGCCGAGTGCAGGATTTTCCAAGAAAAATTTACTCATTCCTATTTGCATACAAGTTAATGTTAAAACATTGTGTTGAAATTGCATTTTTCTTAAAGTTTCAGGTTGTTCATAATATTATAATATTTTGTAAAAGAAAGAGTTCATCAATTAAAACAAGATTTCTGTAATAGATTTGTGTTTCTCTGCACAAATATTTGAACTTATTGTTATTTTTGGGGTTTATATGACATGAGTTTTCTGATCCGGCCCCTTTGGGATCAAAGTAGGCCGGATACAGGCCCCGGAACAAAATGAGTTTGACACCCCTGCACTAGAGGGTTTGCAAGAACCCCAGAAGTTCGAGTTTGAGGACCAGCCAATCAGCAAAGAGCCATACATTCTGTGTTGGGAACGATTCCCGTGATCGAGGATTTAAAGCCGGAACAAATTTTATCAAAGGGAAAGATGTTATTGTCCTTCTTCCTACGGGATTTGGGAAAAGCTTAATATACCAGTTAGCCCATTTAGCGGCGCATTACATACGTCACGACCAAATAGCAGCGATTGGTTAAATAAAAAAAGTACCCGCCTACAGTCGAGCGAACAAATCCTAGTTTCGCGAGGTCAGACGGTTTCTACAAAGTGAACCCGGCTGATAAATCAGGCTAATTTAAACCCTCCTTAAAGTTTTTTTTTATTTTTTTTTTTATTTATCTATTTTATTTCGGTCACAGGTATATTTTGACATTAATTCACAAACAGTTATATTTAACATAGACAGACCGAAAAGGTGCAGGCTGAAGCTTGAGCTTATTATGCCCTTTACCCTTTATTCCTTTGTCAGAGCGTCACCTTAACACCAGTTCATCTTCATAAAATACAGCAGGAGGAAACAAACAAATCAGAAACAGAACAACAAAGTACTACAGCACAAACTAAGTCTCATGTTTCATGTATCTGTCCAGAGTTAAACATTTAAACTTCTTTATGAAGTGAAAGAAAGTGGTGCACAGTTTTAGGTTTTCTGTACAGTTGTTCCAGAGCTCCACCCCTTTAACAGATTTACAAAATTTCATAATGTTTGTTCTGATTTTCTTTTTGATAAACACGGTCGTGCCTCTGAGCTCATACTGGCTCTTTGGGATTTTGAACATGTTCTGTAACGATTTTGACAGGAGATTGTTGTTTACTTTGAACATGATTTTCAGAGTATAAAAGTCGACTAAATCATAAACTTTCAGCGATATATTCATACTTCATATGAACATAAGAACTTTGCTCTTGTTCTTTAGGTGATAAGAACAAGAACAAAATTTGTTTGGGCTCTGACATTTCATACTTCAAAAGATATTCTGCTGCCGAAGTGCCCCTCCCCCTCGCTCCTGTTAGACCCGCACACTGACACAAAACTGCACTACAACTTCACAAACCTGAAAATAGTGAAATAAAAACACCAGGATCACGTAGAGCGAGTTAATCTGAACATTTTAAGACCAAAATGACGAATCTCACTGCAGCGGTTACAGAGAGAGGGGCGACGGTTTTTCAATAGAAAGCGAATCGGACCCGGCGTCGATGGAGCCGAAACACGACCACTGCTCACTTCCTGTCCCGTTCTTAATAAAGCAGCAAAATCTCCGCTAGGAAAGTTAAACGCTGCAACTTTAACTCTTCAAACTTACGGAAATGTTTACAACTTTTTGCGATAATGACGCCAAATTATCCCAGCGAAATTGTAAATAAACTTGAGAATTCAGTTTCTGTTTTAATTTCGCCGTAACTCTTTCTCTGCGTGCGTTTAAACTAATTGAGTTTCGAGTTAGAGACATCTCCTATTCCAGTCCATTCTCCCGCGGATGGACTTTGGGAGCGCGAGCAGCTCCTCTGGATCCTCCTCGCCGCACACACTCCGCCGTTGTCAATTTCACGCTTGATTAATCGTCATTACGCAGAGAGAGACAAAAAAAAAACGAGAAATGCGTTTTAGGATTTAAATGGAGAGCAAGACCTCCCTAAAGAGAAGATTTAGACTGTGAGGGAGAAGGAGGGAGGAGAAAGAGAGAAAGAGAGAGAGAGAGAGGTACTGTAGTTAACTTTTATGAGGGAAAAGAAAGGGAGGGACTAAAGATGGTGGAGAGAAAGAGCAGGAGAGAAAGAGGGAGACGGAGAGAGAGAGAAAGCGAGAGAGGGCTACTGTAGTTAACTTTGATGAGAGAGAGAGAGAGAGAAAGGAAAAGAGAGATGGAGAGAAAGAGGGAGCAAGAATGAGGGAGACAGACAGAGAGAAAGAGAGAGAGAGAAGGAGAGGAAGAGAAAAGGGAGAAATGGAGAGAGAGAGAGAAAGAGAGAGGTACTGTAGTTAACTTTGATGAGAGAGAGATGAGAGAGGGATGAAGGAGAGAGAGGGAGCACGAGAGGGAGAGCGAGAGAGAAAGAGAAAGAGAGGGAAAGAGAGAGGGGTACTGTACATTTTTCTGAGGGAGAGAGAGCGAGGGACTAA